CGGCTTTCGTAACACCCCTGCTATACCTGCCTCGAAATCTAGGGAAACGCTAGGGGAACGGCGCAGCGCTCGGAACCGGAATTTTTACCAATTTTTACCAATTATTTTCGAGAACTCGCGCGAGTTCAAGTCGCGTTCAACGAACATGATTTATCGAATGAATTCCCATCGACAAAATTACGAATTTCTACATGCAGGACATCGTAAAATGAATAGTGCTTTTTGAATTAATCGCGTGATTATTGTCGAATAATTTTTCCACGATTGTACCGCATTTTAGTATCTTTCTTACTCTAAAATCTAGGGAAATACTAGGGGAATGGCGTAGCACTCGGAACCGGAATTTTTATCAATTTTCGAGAACTCGCCCGAGTTCAAGTCGCGTTCAATGAACATGATTTATCGAACGAATTTAACGTTAGCTCTCCCATCGACAAAATTACGAATTTCTACTGCACGACATCGTAAAGTCAATAGTGCTTTTCAAATTAATCACGTCAATATTGTCGAATAATTTTTCCACGATCGTACCGCATTTTAGTATCTTTTTTACTCTAAAATCTGGGGAAATGCTAGGGGAATGGCGTAGCACTCGGAACCGGAATTTTTCCCAATTTTCGAGAACTCGCGCGAATTAAAGTCGCGTTCAACGCGAATGATTTATCGAACAAATTTTTACGTTAGCTTTCCCATTGACAAAATTACGAATTTCCACTTGCACGACATCGTACAGCCAATTGTGTTTTTCGAATTAATCGCGTAATTATTGTCGAATAATTTTTTCACGATCCTACCGCATTTTAGTATCCTTTTTACTCAACGTGCAATTCGCAGTGCTTCTATAGTACTATCTATAGTTTTTCCTACAGGTAACTAGTATTTCTTTATTTTGAAACTTCAGATACCGTGTCTCTGCTTACACCGCGGGGTTTATTCCGTAGAGTTAAATAAATAAATGAATAAAAGCGTATGTGTGTACGTCGAAGATAAATGTTTGAATTGGAAGACTCGTCTTTCTTGCGATTTACTAGCGCGATATTTACGTTGCAGCGCGTGTGAACGCCGCGTGTTTCGAGCATCGTCGGTGAACCGAAATTTTGGAATGAATTTCGACATTCTTATAAATTTTCCCGGGCTCAACGACCGACCCCAGCTTGCCAAAAAGCATTAACCCGAATACTGGGAAGCCACTCGGAAATCTGCGGTCAAACGATCCTTGGTCGAAACAGTCAACGAACGATCGTGTCTCTCTCTCTCTCTCCCTCCCTCTCTCACTCTCTCTCTCTCTCTCTCTCGTTCTCTTTCTATTCTCTCTTTTCTCCCTTTCTTCCACGTTTATCGCAATTTCGATGAAGATGGAACGCAGAAGAATCGCGAGAACGGCGATAAAAAGCGACGGAGAGTTCGATGACCGAGTTAAGTAGATAATGAGTAACGTCGTCGTGGAATTGAAGGGAATTATTCCGCGAGCTGAATTGCGTAACGCAATGAGGACGATTACGCGTGGTGTTGCGCAGGTCTAGGTAAACGCAAGCGGCCACGGGAATGTTAATCGTTTAGATCGAGAAAATTACGATCGACCAAGCGGACACGATCGATTGAAAATTAAATAGAAATTTCCTTAGTCGTAAATCGCGCTGTTAGTTGCGGAACGGAAATAAAACTCGTCTCGAGTAACTCCACGATGCCTTTCGAGGAATGAAAGTGCAAACGCGTGTTTCTCGTGTCGATACATCGGTCAACCTTTTATGTAAGGTTCGATTAATCAACGAACTGGACAAAACATTTTCCTAGCCACGAATTTTTAGGTTAAACTTGGAATAGGAATAAAATTTCTAAGTCTAGAGCTTTCGTGGATTAGATAGATCGAAAATGAGACGTTAAACGCGTAGTAGAAGTAAAATTTCCAAGTCCAAAGGGTGAATAAATCAGAAATGACACGAAAAATTTTCCTAACCACGAATTTTTAGGTTAAACTTGAAATAGAAGCAAAATTTCTAAATCTGGAGCTTTCGTGAATTAGATAAATCGGAAATGGGACGGAAATTTTCTTAATCTCGAATTCCAACGTCGAGTACGAAACGGGGATAAAATTTATCTCGATAAATTTAGCCCAACGACGCCTTTCAAGGGATGAAACTCCGAGCACGTGTTTTGGGATATATGGGGTGTGTACACAGTTAAGGATATCCTGTCGGACGTAATGGTGCAACGGCTGGCGAGAGCAATTTGTCGCGCTCGTGTCACCAGAGATCTACTAGGATCACTCGAAATATAATTGGAAACGTTCGCGAAATTGGCCACGAAGACGTCACGTAGATCTAGTTGTTCCCCGAAATCGATTTGGTTCTCGCGAAAAGACGTTTCTCGAAAAAACGTAATCCAGCAACGTCTGAAAATAACA